CCTTTCTAGATACCTATTAAAATGTTTTATTACCAGAGAAAAATATTTATAATATGTAATACTACAAAAGAATACTAATTTATCTGTTTTGAAAATGCCATGCCTGATTAGTAGACAATTATTAAAGCTAATTACAGGTTCCTGTAAGTTACTTTAGAGGATGGGAAGAATTAAGTTTTTTAATTATAACCACAATGGTAGACAAGCAGAGATCATTGTTTAAAAAGAAAAAAAAAAAAAAAAACATTGATTTGTTTGTGCTCCTTCTTTGTAATTGTAGTGGGGTTTGAGGAGAGGGAATTTGCTGTTGCCCCATTCCTGGACACCTGCCTCTCAACAAAGGATCTTGGTCACCCCCCACCGCCCACATTTAGATTCACCTTTCACTTGTGTGTACCACGTCTGCTCATTATACAGTTCTCCAGGGATCCAATTTTCCCCTGAGTTAATCACCCCTAGCCTTTTTCAGAAATTGTTAGATTACCAACCTTTTAAAGAATACTCACTTTATCAGTCTATTCTTTTTATCCTTTTATTTTCTTATTTCAATTTAAAGTGTAGCCATAAATAGAGTCTCAACACACTATCTTTAAAACTTAAAAATATATAATCCATACAGAGAAGTGCATAAATCTAAGTGTGTAGCTTGATAGATTTGCACAGTGAACACACCCATTTAACCAGAAAGCCTGTTTGTTTGTTCATTTGTTTGTTTGTTTGTTTGTTTGTTTTTGAGACAGAGTCTTGCTCTGTCACCCAGGCTGGAGTGCGGTGGCAGGATCTTGGCTCACTGCAGCCCCCACCTCCTGGGTTCAAGCACTTCTCCTGCCTCAGCCTCCCGAGCAGCTGGGACTACAGGTGCATGCCACCAAGCCTGGCTAATTTTTGTATTTTTATTAGAGATGGGGTTTCACCATATTGGTCAGGCTGGTCTCAAACTCCCTACCTCAGGTGATCCACTCACCTCGACCTCCCAAAGTGTTGGGATTACAGGCATGAGCCATGGTGCCCAACCCAGAAAGCCTTTTATGACTTTTTCCAGTTACCACTGACTCCCCATTTCCCCCAACATCATAGGGTAGTTTTGCCAGTTACATCTCATGTAACGGAAATCATACAGTATGTTACCTTTTTCATCTGATACTAGTTTTTCAAAACCAGAATCCCTAAAGGAACTTGGACTGTTTGTGCCCATGGTATAGAATAATCAGGTCAACATACAGATATTTAGACAGCCACAGAATATGAAAATATTTTAATATACTCCTTGTAACTCTGACCTCGGGCAAGGTACTAACCCTTTTTGTGTATTCTCTTTTCCTATTTACCATGAGATATGGTCTAAGCTAATCTTTTAACCAAGAAATAGATAGCTACTCTAAAGTTCCTATGCATAGAGATGAAGAAAAAATAGTAATAAAACTGTGAAAGCCACTTTTTGAGTAGGTGGAATAATAGCAATGGTTGCACATGAAATAGTAACAATGTGAGAATAACAACAGTTTCCCAGTAGATTGGCAGTTATATTTGCAAGTAATTTCTAATTTATTATTTTTAAATAAAAATGGCATCATGGATCTATTTGAATAGGTTGTCTTTTTGTACAATTAATATATTACAGGTGTTCAAGATAGGTAAGATTAAGAAAGCTGATTCATCTTGTCATTATTTCTGCCTTGTCTGATTTGCTTTGATTGATTTAAAAATTCTTAAACTATCTATAAGATACCCTGGAATACAGGTAACTCCATTATAAATTTATTATACCTGTTTTTCCCCTAAATAGGATTTAAGTGTCAATTATTACCCCCATTCCTTAAATCCGAAACAGTGTTTAATCTTTCAATGCTAGCAAACAACCCTGGTCCTTCTGAGTAAGACATTAAAATGTGATTAAAATTTTTGTCCCCATTCATGAGAATTTTAGACAATTTTTTTTTTAATTAGGAATATCTGAATAGCATATAGCCTACTATACTTTACATAGAATGTGGAAATTAAATTGTTTTGTTCAGAAATTACTTAGCATACAGATAGATTCTGCATAAGCTATCCAGTAGACATGCAGAGATAGAGGAAGGATCTCTGACCACTGGGCCTTAAGATCCTTATCTTTGGATCTTAAGGACAGTCTAATAGACTACTGGTACCCAATAAATATGAACTGGTATAATATCTGATATACTTTAATAGAAAACCATGGTGAGTTCAAAATATTGTATAACCTTTTTATCTACTTTAAAATTATGTAACTCACTAATAAATTTTGAACAGGCAGTTATTAAATATAATTAAATTTCGGGCATTCACATCACAGAACAAAGGGAAGCACTCTCAGCAGGTGAACAAGAGACTAGTAAGACAGCTAAAGGAAATTTTACTGGGGTGTGGAGTGGATTTTAGTAGGGTTTTTTTGTTTGTTTTTTGTTTTCTTCTTAAAAATTATTTACTTCTAGAAAAACAGTACAAGTATACAGGAAATATAACATGCCTTTAAAAACAAAGGCAAATGCTTCCCATCTTTGGTTGCCGTCTTTGACCCAAAGAACACTTGGTTTAAACAATAGAGTAGATGCTCCTGTTACAAATTTAGGTGGAATTCCAGGCTTCCTTGGACCTTCCATCTGCAGCAAAAACTTAGGTCCAGGAAACAGCAATGGAACATCAACACAATACATTTGTGTTGTGGGGTTACTGAAATACTGAAATAATTACTACTTTAAGTTACTTAATCTCTTGCAAACAATCAAATGTAAAAATGATTAATAGCCTTTACAATTGCATAGAGCTTTATTTTTTAAAGCACTTTTAGTGTGGTCTCATTTGATATGGAGAACACCTTTTTATTAGTCTGCCTCAGCTGCCATAACAAAATACCATAGACTGGGTGGCTTAAACAAAATTTAATTCTCATGGTTCTGGAGGCTAGCAAGTCCAAGATCAAGGTACTGGTTGACTCAGTTTCTGATGAGGGCTCTTTTCCTGGCTTGCAGACAGCCTCCTCCTTACTGTGCCTTCATAAGGCCTTCCTCTGTGTATGGGTGCATGTGTAAAGAGATTGGTCTCTCTTCCTTCCCTTTAAGGCCGCTAGTCCTATTGGATTAGAACCCCACTTTTATGGCTCCATTTAACCTTAATTACCTCCTAAAAGCCCCATGTCCAAGAACAGTCAAATTAGAGAAATGCTGTATAAAAACCACAATGAGATACCATCTCACACCAGTTAGAATGGGGATCATTAAATAGTCCGGAAACGTCAGATGCTGGAGAGGATGTGGAGAAATACGAATGCTTTTACACTGTTATTGGGAACGTAAATTAGTTCAGCCATTGTGGAAGACACTGTGACAATTCCTCAATGATCTAGAATCAGAAATACCATTTGACCAAGCAATCCCATTCCTGGGTATATACCCAAAGGATTATAAATCATTCTACTATAAAGACACATGCATACATATGTTTACTGCAGCACTGTTCACAATAGCAAAGACTTGGAATCAACCCAAATGCCCATCAGTGATAGACTGGATAAAGAAAATGTGGCACATATACACCATGGAGTACTGTGCAACCATAAAAAAGGATGAGTTCCTGTCCTTTGCGGGGACATGGATTAAGCTGGAAACCATCATTCTTAGCAAACTAACGCAAAAACAGAAAACCAAACACCATATGTTCTCTCATAAGTAGGAGTTGAACAATGAGAACATATGGACATAGGAAGGGGAACATCACACACTGGGGCCTGTCAAGCGGTGAGGGGCTTAGGGCAAGATAGCATTAGGGGAAATACCTAGATGATGGGTTAATGGGTGCAGCAAACCACCATGGCAGGTGCATACCTATTTAACAAACCTGCATGTTTTGCACATATATCCCAGAACTTAAAGTATAATAGTTACACACACACACACACACACACACACACACACACACACATTTTTTTTTTAAAAAAAAGAACAAATTATGGGCTAGGGCTTCAACATATGAATTTGAGGGGGACACAATTCAGTCAACAGCAACCCTCCTGAAGCAGATAAGGAAGACATAACTACTGTTTTAGAGATGAACAAACTGATACACCTACTGTTAGAAAGTTAGTAACATATTGTAATTAAGGTTCAGATATTTATTTTTATCCAACTCCACACTGCTTTCTTAGTTACATAATATCTGACAAAAAAAACAAACACACAAAAAACATTGCCCTATTGCTTACAAAATAGAGGTCACTAGTAGATTGCAGAGAATCATCAAAATTAACTTTACGCTTTTCCATGTTGCATGGTTGTGAAAAATGGGATTGATTTTGACTTAAAATTTATAAGAAATGTTATGCTCTAGATTTTTCAGTCAGCTGAAGTCAGGTTGCTTTAACACTGCTGTCGAGTACTATTGCTGTCAGTGTACTAAGTGAAGTTTTTTTTTTTTCCTTTTTTTAATTACACTTTAGGTTCTGGGATACATGTGCAGATCATGCAGGATTGTTGCATAGGTACATACATGGCAAGGTGGTTTGCCGCCTCCATCCCCTCCGTCACCTGTATCTGGCATTTCTCCACATGCTCTCTCTCTCCAACCTCCCCACCCACTGCTATCCCTCCCCTAGCCCCCACCAACAGACCCCAGTGTATGATGCTCCCCTCCCTGTGTTCATGTGTTTTCATTATTCAACACCTGCCTATGAGTGAGAATATGCAGTGTTTGATTTTCTGTTTTTATGTCAATTTGCTGAGAATGACGGTTTCCAGATTTATCCATGTCCCTACAAAGGATACAAACTCATCATTTTTTATGGTTGCATAGTATTCCATCGTGTATATGTGCCACATTTTCCTTGTCCAGTCTATCATTGATTGGCATTTGGGTTGGTTCCAGTAAGTGATAAGTAAGTTAGAATTGTAGTGACCAGGCTGGGGTTGTCTTTTTAGCATTCTTCATGGTTCCAGTTAAAGTATCATGTTTTATAATTAAGTGTCATGTTTTATGTTTTACAGAAGATGATCTAAGAAGTATAGGACCAGTAGATGCTCAAGTATATCTTGAAGAAATGTCTTGGAATGAAGGTTGGAAATTTTTTTTCTCTTGACAACATTAAAAAGCATAGGAATTTTCTCTAAGGAGAAAAACTCATCGGGTATTTGGAATCTTATGAAGAAATAATAGTGTAACTTTCCATATATATGTGATGAGTGTTTCTGTTTGGAGTGTTTCTGTTTAATTGTAAACTTTATTTATACTGATTGATGTCCTCCTGTGTGACTAATTTCCAGTTATTTTTATATTCTAATTAGATGTTAGGATAAAGTTTCATAAAGGTTGTTTCGTTTTTTACTTTAGTTTTTGTATTAGTTGTCTGTGTAGTATGATAAATAATGTCAAACAAGATATTTTATTTTCATTCCTTTTAATGTTGACAAGATGAATTCCTATTAGAATTTTTTATTTTCTCTTTATGTAAAATCATAAACTGTCAGGGCAGGGCTTTTAAGTTATACTTGGAGGCTTGATTTTTTTTTTTTTTTTTTTTTTTTTTTTAACTCTCACATACTGATTGTCTTGTAGGAAGAAAGAGTATCTGTCATTCCCCTTGATGCAACATGAAGTCATGTATTTTTGCTTTTCTGTTACTAAAATTTTAGAACTTAAATCCAGTATAGTTTCCCCATTCTTCTGATAGCTCCTTGATTGTTCTGGTTAGACATCATTAAACTGGGAAAACACACTTTACTAAATGGAAGCCTTAAGTACCATACTTAATTATCTGTGCAAATGAAGAAAATCTTACTATTTGCTTGAATCTTTATATACTTTTAACCCTTAACCTTATTGTTCAGCATGAAGTTCAGATTCCCTCAAGGTTTATAAAAACCTGCAAAATGAGTGTGGATAGGAAGAAGATAAAAATAGAGCCATCTGAAACCAAAATTACTTTTTAAACGGCAAATTCTTAACTTTGTGCCCCTATGAAGTGGGTCATAAGCCTTATTAACTTAGAAAGGAAGTCATGTGTTTGCCTCTGGGACCATTCTGCCCCCAACCCCTAAAGTGAAATCCTAGAGTAGAAATTCGGTGTATAGTTAGAAAAGTTGAGGTTTTGTGTAACTGGAGCTCCTTTTTTGTGTAAGTGGTGGTCTCATCAGAGTAAACAGGAAGAAATGCTACTGTGAAAACAATACACTAGTGACATAGACTTTTCACTACTAGTTTGTGGTAGGGACACTCTAGAACATGTCATTTATCAAGGAGACTTACCCAACTGAAAAAATATAAATGCACATATGTATTATATACACACATGTACTTTTTATTTTTTTTGCCAAATACACAGACTTCAAGGGACTAAATATGTTTTGAATTAATAGTTTGTACATGTATCCCAGAACTTACAGAATTTGAAGATACAGTTTGTCTCTTTATCAACTGGTATGTATATGTATGTTTATATGTGTTTAATCTCAAATTAGTTCTTGCTATAGTTGATATGGGTAATATATTTTGTTTATAGTAAGTGTGAAAATAGTGAAAACTGGTTTTTATAATTTTTTTACCTTTTAAAAATAATATAATGTTAATATCTTAATTTCAAATGAGAATATGGGGCTGGGTGCCTGTAATCCCAGCACTTTGAGAGGCTGAGTTTGGAGAAATGCAGAGGTCAAGAGTTTGAGACCAGCCTGGGCAACATGGGAAGACTCTCAGAACAGACTGTGAGAATAGAAAACAACCAACCAACCATAGCAGGACTGCATCTCTACAAAAAAAAAAAAAAAAATTAGAAATATATAAAAATAGTTTAAAAAGAAAAAAAAGAAACATAATATGGATAAGTGTCTTAAGCATCTGTTCAATCAGTAAATACATGGACTTTCTGATACAGTGAAAATGCTAACATATGGAAGGAAATATACAAGAAAAAAAATCATGAAGCATTACCATCAATGTGTTATTTGTCCCTGGAACTCCCTAAGGAAACTTGACAGTAAAGAAGATATAGAAGAATCCCATCCATAGCCAATGAATTAGTAATAAGCAGATAGTTAATCTTAAAAGTATATGACACCATTAGATGCTCATTTAAATTAAGGGTTTTTATAACTGTAAAGATGGAAATGATTTTTATCTTCATGAGAGAAAATACTGAGCAATAGCTACATGAAACTATTATTCTTGTAGGAATATTTAAAAATGAATCATAGAACTTTTGAGCCAAAATTTTTTTTCCAATTGAAAAGAGCAGTTTTAGCAGATGAAATTAAATAAAAAGTGTGATCAACTAGGAAAGGAAAATTTGTTTAAAGATCCCTTTAGGATCATTTTCAGAATAGCCATCGAAGGTGAAGCCAGAACAGAAGAAAAGTTCATCAAACCCTATAGGATAAACATAGCCATACTATGGGTTGTCCGATCAAAGGACAGTATGAAATGATGCATTTTATTGTGCTTAAAAGGCATATGTGAGCTGTTCAAATACTGAAGCTAACCTTTACCCTTACAGTTAGTCTGTTACATCGTTTGGTCATTTTGTTGGCCTTCATTCAGAGTATGTAAAATGATTTCTGTAAAAATTATCACCTGGTTAAAAAGCTTGATGGTAAAATAATAATATAAACAGAAATTTTAAAAAGATGGGAATTTTTTAGTGAACATTTAACATTTGGAGTCATCTATTACAAAACTCCCCAGTAGCCCATGGTGTCCTCTGTGTCATTTACCAAGCATATGTCAACTCAAATTTTTTCTCATTGTTCACTGAGGTGATAAAAAAAAACAAGGGACTAGGGGATATTTCACTTAGGAAAATCAATAGTTAGAATATGTACATTTTAAGATAATTTAATAATAAAAATCACTTTGAAAACATGCTCTAGTATATACATGTTGGTTTAGATAGGGAAGATGTTTGCATTTTGAATTCAAGATTAAATTATGTTTCTCTATGGAGAACAAAGGCATTGCAAAGAATAAAAAGCTGGATTAGGTGAATGAATTCGTTTTCCTTACTGATTTAAAAAAACACATAAAGTTGGCTTATTTGTCAGTTTTTCTAAGGCTGAACTTGATAGGGTGCAGGTATAAGACAGTTGAATTTTTCTGTTTTTTAAACTACATATGATGTCATCTAACTATTAATCAAATTTGATAATTGAATGAAGATATCTGATTGTATGAAATCAGTAGTCCTTTGAGACTTATTTAGCTTTAATAATCAATTATGATAGTGGTAAAATAATGTGATTGATAGGTTTTCTTTGAAAGTTACTTCTCAGAGACAGTAAAATGGAATGACCAGTAGATCAGAGATTCTTTAAGTCAAAGGGCACAAGAATTTCAACTTCCCAGGAAAATGATACACTTAAAATTTCCATGATTAGGAGCCTAAGTATTGCAATGTACTGCCTCCTTTGGGCATCTCACCTCAGCATTTTGTTGATTCATGTATCATTTGTAAACACCAAACAGAAACACACACATACCCCCACAGGATTGGGTAAAAAGAAAAACACGCATGGTGTTGTGTTTATAGACTTAAGTCAGGATTCTTGTACTAGGGTGACACTAGAAGAGAAAGTATCCAGATCTTGCACTTGATAAACAGTCTAGTTTTCTTTAAAGGATAGATTTCATGCAAAAGCATCATGCTCCTTAACAGTGAGACAGATGGGGCTGTTTTTCTTTTTCCTTCATTGTTCTATTTTAGACAAATACATTGTTGAAAATAATGTAAACTTATGAATTTTAAGAAAACTTCAAGTAATTTTCATGGGTTGCTTCTGAGCATGCCCTCTCCTCCCCAAATCCTTGGACTTCTATTTAATTCATAGCTTCAATCCATCTCCTGTACAGAGAAAGATTCTTTGGTAGATAATTTTTAGAAACACTGCCCTTTTCAAGAAACTTTTCCCAGTTCTCCTTTAAATAGACGTTATCTTTACTGAGCTTCTTTCTTTTGTTTTACAATCGCTGTTGAATAAACTCTGCACTTAGGGGTATTAGTGATATAGTTACTTAGTAGCCTTTGAAACACTATTTTGTTTTATTTTGCAGATGATCAATCTTTTTATTTGAGTTGCAGATGTGGTGGAAAATACAGTGTTTCCAAGGATGAAGCAGAAGAAGTTAACCTGATTTCTTGTGATACATGTTCACTAATTATAGAACTCCTTCATCATAACTAAAATTGTTCACAACTTGAAATACTTTAGCTGTGGTATTTAGACATGATGAGAAGCCACTGAGCGTTGTCCATTCAAGGAAATGGATTTTTTTTTTTTTTTTTTTTTTTTTTTGGTCAACCCTATTATTTGCAAAGAAAATATACAATTATCAAGCAGAGACCACCTCAGATTAATAGAGAATGATTGTAATTATTTATGTATAAGTTGTATTCATAAGTTGTCACAAAAAAAGACTTGGATTGTATTTGGTGAATTCCCATCTGAGAACTTTATTATTTCATTTTTTTCCTTGACACAAAGTAAGAATTTTTCTCTTTCCTAATATTAGCATGTCTCCTCTTTTAAGTGGGTAACAGTATCGTATTTCTTTATAGTTACTAAGTTTCTGATCTAACAGATAATGTTTCTAGTTGCTAAAATTATAGGCATGTTGTACACCTAGAATCTTTGTGAATAACATAACCAGTTCTCCCATAAGCAAGGGCTGGTTATGGATATTCATGAAGTTATTATTTCAAAGGTAATAAAGACAAAATGGCAAGTATAGAAAGTGTTGACTCCAATCTTGGCCCTTTATTTCCAAAGCTTGTAAACACTGCCATCTTTAAATTTAAATGTAATTTAGGAAATGGAAGTTTTTTTTATTTTAATTTTTATTTCTTTTTCTAAGACGGCTTCTCACGCTGTCAACCCAGCTGGAGTACAGTGCATGATCTCGGCTCACTGTAACCTCCGTCTCCTGGGTTCAAGTGATTCTCTGGCCTCAGCCTCCCAAGTAGCTGGGATTACAGGCGCCCACCACCATGCCCAGCTAAATTTTGTATTTTTAGTAGTACAGATGGGGTTTCACCATGTTGGTCAGGCTGGTCTCGAACTCTTGACCTCAGGTGATCTACCTGCCTTGGCCTCCCAAATTGCTGGGATTACATGTGTGAGCCACTGCGCCTGGCATAATTTTTGTTTAGTAGAGACGGGGTTTCATCATGTTAGCCAGGCCGGTCTCGAACTCCTGACCTCAAATGATCTGCCCACCTCAAACTCCCAAAGTGCTGGGATTGCAGGCGTGAGCCACCGTGCCCAGCCAGTTTTAAAAAGAATTATTTGAAATTGGTGTATTATTTTCCTTTTTATTTGGGGTATTAAGATATAGTACTGGGGCCAGGCATGATGGCTTATACCTGTAATCCCAGCAGTTTGCGAGGCTAAGGCAGGCAGATCACCTTTGGTCAGGAGTTCAAGACCAGCCTGGCCAACATGGTGAAACTTCATCTCCACTAAAAATAATTCTTTAAAAAATTAGCCAGCCATGTTGTTGTGTGCCTGTGGTCCCAGCTACTCGGGAGGCTGAGGCACGAGAATCGCTTGAACCCACAAGGCAGACATTGCAGTGAGCTGAGACTGCACCACTGCACTTCAGCCTGGGCTACAGAGCAAGACTCTGTCTCAAAAAAAAAAAAAAAAAAAAAAAAAAAAATTTAATGCTTATATTTATGAAGAAGGAGCCATTGCACTGCTGCTACGATGAAATGAGCTTTTATAAAGTATTACTGACTATAGCCGACTATAGATGGCATATGCTTTTAAAGATGTATTTTTCTGTGGATTTAATATTCTGTATAGAGTATAAGTCAGAACTCATTTAAATAACTTTAAGGGATTTTACCTAATTTCAAATGAGTGGGATGAGCATGTAGCTTAGCAGCTTTTTATCAATCCTGGCATTGTTAGATTGAACTTAAGAATAGTTACTATTCTGACTTGTAAATGTAGCTGCTAAAGTATGAAGCATATTTAAGAAGAGCAGAAGAACAAGAATTCAAAAGTCAGATAGTCATTTAGGTTCCTCCTCCCAAAGTATTTTTGCATCATAAAATTTAGATGACTTTTGGATTACATTTTTATTCATATATATTGAACAGAACCTGCAGAGTGTGGGTTGATTATTCATTACATTTAACAATTAAAAACAACTAAAACTGAATAGCAAATAGTTTATTGGTAAGTACATGGTTTCAACAGGAGTAATAAATTCACATTAACAGGAGACAAGTCAAAAGAATAAATGCTTACTAATTATCAGAAAATCTGTGGCTATTAGGGCTGGCACGTAAAAATCCAAAATCACTCAGAGGCCAAATCTGTAAAATCAAAATGAGGTTGAAGACAATTAGTGAAAGTAATGTCACAGTATCATCATATTCCCATTTGCTATCTGTCCCTTTTCTCTGTGCCAGATAAACACTTCTCCTTACTCATCAATCAAGAATAAAATTTTCTACATCAAAGACTTGAGAAAATAAACTTATATGTATGTATGGTTAAACTCCAAAGTTTGGAACATTCAAACATTATACATAAAATTATATGTGTGTGGTGTGTGAATACATATGTATGAATATATGGTCTGTGTTTTCTTTTACTGCTTTCAAATAAGAGTTAACTGTACACTTTCAACCTAAGGGGTTGAAAGTATTTCAATATGGCATCCGTTTAAATGTAAGGAATCCTGTAAATTATCCAACAGCTCCACGTATTCATGTGTTTTTCTCCTTACTGCCTTTGATAAAAAGGAGGGGCCAGTGAAACCAATCTTCCCTAACAATAATAAATTCACGGTAAATCTATGACTCACAGTACTCAACTGGGATATCCACACATTATAGGTAGTTTGAACCTAGGCCACTCTTCTGTACACGCTTATTAAAATATGCCCAGGATGCGATCATGGTTTTAAAGAGTTGTACAAGAGAAATTTGAATTTTTGGAAATTTAAATTAAAATTTTCTTAGGCTATAGCTAAAGTAGTATGGATTTTATTATTATGTCTATAGGAGCAGGGGCAATGGGGGAATAATAGTTTGCATATAGCTATTAAGGCCAACAGGTTCATAAAATGTATTCAATGCAACAGTTAAGTATACTGACAGCCTGAAGATTTTCAGAGATCATTTTGAGAGAAACTTTTTTTCTAGCTCAGAAAATAAACCTTACATTTTAAGCAGAAAATGGTACCTTAAAGAAGATTCGTCCTCTTATTAGTCCGTACGGAATAGGTCCATAGTACCTGGAATCTGTAGAATTCTGTAGATTATCACCTTCTAACCAAACATGACCCATTGGCACCTAGAATTAGAGAAGAAATGCAGCCCTTTAAAAAAATAAAACCTAAGTTGGGTACTATAATTTAAAAGCATGTTCTAAGGTTCTCTTTTATAGAATAGATAGAAATCCTAATATTGCATGTTTGCTTTTCTTTCTTTCACAATAAAATAACTTTTACTAAACATCAAAGCTTTCAACTTTTTAAAAGACCTATCTTTTTTTGTCATATGGTTCCCAAATATTAATTTGTTATACAAACCCCAAACCGAGGTTATAAGAGATCAAAACAGTGTGACAGGGTCATTAATTTAATAGACTTCAAAAGAGGTCATTAGGATGCTGACTGAAAATGTGCCCTTATGTCTCAATAACAGCATAAGCAGGGCACCACTCACTCAGCAACATCCTGGGGCCAATACGAAGGCCAGACCTATTAGAATGCTCATGATAAACTAAATGGTAATTGATTGTGACATCAATTACAAATAATCTCATCATTTTATTGGAGTGGGCTTGTCAGAATTCTAATTAAGATCCCTGTTCTGCCTTTGTACAGACCATATCTTCAATGCATTATACTTCCATAATGACCATGAAGAACCAGAAGGACCTATTATAAAATCATCAGTTGTAAAATTAATGATGGTGACCTTCTCCTAAATGAAAAGACTATCTCCTATAATGTTCTATGTATAAACTGGTAACAAGATTTTTACTGAGTGACAATCATAAGCATATTTAGAACAGCACACTGCTTCTTTTTTAAAAGCTGCCTGCAATATGAGACATTTGCTTATTACTATCTGTTCAATATAAACTTAAAAACTTAATTTTCCATCAACAATCTTTAAAATTGCTTTTTAAAAGTTTTTGTTTTACAGTTTTGTTATCTAAGACAGTTGAGTTACTGACCAGATCAAAATGATCTCTGTATGGGGAAGGAATTTATTTTCACTATTCTTTTGAGCAGTTTTATTTATAAACCTTACATGAAGAAAAATATCACTGCTGGGTTTAACAAGACTTTTTTAAATCTCACAAATTACCTTTTGAAAAGTAAATGTATACAAGAATGTAAAATTTGAATTTCACTTAATTAAGCGATTTTAAGATTCTGGAAGGTCTTATGTACAAATATTTGCCAAAAACCTTCAAATTAACTCTGTATTTTGATACATTTAAATGTTAAATTTATTTGTAGAAAAAGGACGTAAGTTTACTGAAGGAATATCAGAAAGTATATGATCATTCACTTTATTAGTGGAACTAGTTTGTCCAAGGGCCAATAGCAAGGCCACTTCCTCGCTGTCTAATAAAATAGACATATGTGCAGTGAAGCATAAGACTGCTCTAGTAGAAAAATGTGTACATCACAGTCATCGAAAAAGGAACAAAACAGTGAATCTGGAAAAGCGAAATGTTCTTAAGTGTTACTTTGATACAGCTATAAGGTGAACATCTTTCATGTTTAAATTTCCACAGTTTCTCCCTCAAATGTGCTTTTTTCTGAGTTCTAAAAACAGGTTATGCATATGAATAAATAAAGCCATGTAGTTATGGATACCAATAAAAGAAAAATATTCTACAAACTAATAAGGCAACATACTAACAATCTAGGGATACCTTTGTCTGACCATCCCATTGATGGTAAACCAAGACCTGTGATGATCTCTTCATGAAGCTTTCCCTAAACTACCCTGCCCATACCAACTTGATTCTTTCCAGCACTTAACATAAAGTCAGCCTTGCTTGGGGCCCTATGTTATAACCTTTAACATTATTATTTTTAACCTGCTTGGCTTTTCTGTCCGTTTTTACTATTTTATAACAGAATAAACCAACAGACAGTAATGCTTTGATTTTAATTTTTTGAGTGTTAATGACTTTTATTACATTATAGTTTGGTGCAAAAGTAACTTCAGTTTTCGCTGAAAAATACATGTAATGATAAAAACCGCAATTACTTTTGCACCAATCTAATAGATTTTTGCCAATCTGCCTGGTGAAAAATACTATCTTTGTCTTATGAGTTAGGCTGAATCTCTTTTCATGTTTAAGAGGCATTTTAAATACCAGCCCTTTGTGGTACAAGTGGCAAATATTCCCAGTTTGTCATTTCTTTTATCAGCCTTTGGTTTCATGTCTTCCGAATTTTGATTCTTTGTTAGAAAGGTTTCTTTTTTTACATTTAACTATTTTTTTCTTTGGGAGTACGTCCTGACAAATGGCTATAAGGCTTGGATGAATGTTTTTAATTTTGTAGAAAAACGACCTAAGTTTACTGAAGGAATATCAGTAAATATTCCTCATTTTTGTAAATAATGACTGATTTAGCACCTTGGTAATATTTTTCAGTGCATTTATTTGATTGTTGGCAATGTAGAATATTTTTGTGTGTTTTCTGATTGTATTTAATATCCAGTGAATAGTCTGTGCCTACTTTATATGTCTTATCTATGTGAATTATATAACGCAGACAGCATTCATACATTTATTGCAAATATTTTTTCCAATCTATTTTTTGTCTTTTTATACTTACTATATTCCACAACGTTTTTAGTATTTTATACAGTATTTACTTTTATATCCATATGCTTTCTTAAAAAATGATTTTAATTATTTACAGCACCTAAACCAAAAGTGGAATTCAAATATTTGCTGGTGGTTAAATACTTGTAAATACAAATTATTTGAAAAAACAATGATAACTGCCATTAGCTAGGTCACTTTTGTAGCAGTTACGACCTGAGTTTCTTTAAAATTAGCAATATACAATGAAGTATCATCTCTGGAGTAATTTTTTTTTTTTTTTTTTTTTTTTTTTGAGACAGTCTTGCTCTGTTGCCCAGGCTGCAGTGGCATAATCTTGGCTCACTGCAACCTCTGCCTCCTGGGTTCAAGCAATTCTCCTGCCTCAGCCTCCCAAGTAGCTGGGATTACAGGCACCCCACCACCACACCCAGCTAATTTTTATATTTTAGTAGAGACAGGGTTTCACCATGTTGGCCAGGCTGGTTTTGTACTCCTGACCTCGAGCAGTCCACCCAACTCCGCCTCCCGAAGTGCTGGGATTACAGGCATGAGCCAACGCACTCGGCCATTTCAGGAGTAATATAACTGCAGAAAGGAATCTTCTAAAAGAAACCTAGAACATATCACCAGTAGCCTTTCATTTGATAATTAGCCTGTACTAAGTTAGAAGTACTAAATTTGATATTTAGTCAAGGAAAAAGAAAGAGGTTCAAATATGAGACATGCTAACTCCTCAGTACCTAAAATCCATACATGTTAATGACCATTCATCCATTTACAGTAAAGGAATAATGCCTACATCTTACAGACTTAACATTTCATGTACCATACACAAATCAAGGAAACAGCTTTATCACTGATGTTGCCTTTAATCTAACAAGATCTCTATAAACAAGAAAACCTCTTAAGTATAGATCTTTTAAAATCAAAGCAGTCACCTTTGCTGATCCACCTCTCTATAGATTACAGGTTGAGTATCTCTTATCTGAAATGCTAGAGACCAGAAATGTTTCAGATTTAGATTTTGGAATATTTGCATATACATGAGATATCCTGGTGAAGAGACCCAAGTCTAAACACAAAATTCATTTTTCATATATACCTTATACATATAGCCTGAAGGTAATATTATACAAAATTTTTAATTTGTGCAAGGAACAAAGTTTTGATTATGACTTATCATGTGAAATCAGATGTGGAATTTTCCACTTGTAACAGAAAGCAGATCACTAGTTGACTGGGTCTAGGATTGGCAATAGAAAATTGACTACAAAGGGACAGAAGGGAACTTGCCAGCATGGAAGAAATATCCTGTATTATTGTAGTTGTGGTTAGATAAGTGTGTACATTTTTCAAAATGTCTGTCTTGTGGCATCACACAGATGCTCAAAAAGCGTCGTGGCATTACACAGACACTCAAAAAGTTTCTGATTTTGGAGCATACTGGATTTCATATTTTTGGATTAGGGATACTCAACCCATACTCAGTCTACCAGTAAAAAAACATGTTCGAAATTACTCCCCCTTTAAAATATATGATTGTTGGTATAGGAGAAAAGAGTGAATACTTTCTTTCACTTTTAAAATCAACTTTATAGAGGTTATTTCATATAAAGTAAAATTCACCTATTTTGACACGTTTTGAAAAATGTACACACTCATCTAACCACAACTACAATAATACAGGATATTTCTTCCATGCTGGCAAGTTCCCTTCTGTCCCCTCATAGTCAATTTCCTATTGCCAATCCTAGACCCAGTCAACTAGTGATCTGCTTTCTGTTACTAGAGACAGTTAGGCCTGTTGCTGAATTTCATATAAATGGAATTAAAAAGTACCTGTTTTGTGTCTGCCTTATTTATTTTGTAAATTTTTATGATGAATCTATCTTGTATGTAAAAGTCACTCATTTTTTACTGCTGAGAATTATTCCATTGTAAACCAGAGTGTTTATCTATGAACTTGGTGATGGGTTGTTTGCAGTTTGGTGCTAGTAAAAACAAAGCACTATGAACATTCACGGACAAGTCTTATTTCTTTTCAGTAAATATCTAAGGGTTGAATTTTGGGTCATCAGTAAGTCTTTGTTTAACATTAAAGAAACTACCAAACTTTTTCAAAGTGATAATATTTTTACTCCCAACAACCAATGTATGACTGTGCTCCTGCTGTTCCACAACCTCTCCAGCACTTGGTAGTATCAGTTTTTAAATGTTTTGCCATTCTAGTAGGTGACGGATATTAAGTTGTGGTTTTAATTTGCACTTCTCTGATGAAAGCATTTTTTCCATTGTGCATACTAGTAGTATCTTTCATGAAGCATCTATTATTAAAATATTTTGGCCATTTTAAAAATGGGTTATCTTCTTAATCGTTGTACCAGTCCTTTATTTACCATGGGTACAAGTCCTTTGATGGAACTGCATATATTTTCTCCCAGTCTGCATTTTTTAAAAGATGTTTTGAAAAACAAAAGTGTTTAATGTTA